TATGGAGCCAGACTACTGGGGTTCTAATCCTAGTCTAGACTGCGGAATGATTTTGGACAAACTACCTAATTCTCTTTGCTTCAGTTTCTTCATCTGCAGAAAGGTGTAACAATACAGCTGCCTTAAGAGGTGGTTGTGAGGTTGACCTGAGTTATTATAGATAGATTAGTGACTACATTCTTACTCACTCAGCAGATATTCAGTTAGTATCTGTAGGCATTAAATTCTGAGCATATAGCACAGAACAAATCAGACAAAAATCACTGCTCTCATGGAGTTTGTTATTCTGATTGAGGGAGGGGACACAATAAACAAATGCAGTGTTAAAATATTTATTATGTTGGCTAGGGATAAGTGCTATGGAGAACACTAAAACTGGGAAAAGTGGTAGGAGGAGCAGAGTGAATTGTGATTTAAAATAGGGCCAGCCCTGGCCGGTTTGGCTCAGTGGTTAGAGCGTTGGCCTGCGGACCAGAGAGTCCTGGGTTCAGTTCCCACTAAGGGCACGTACCTCGGTTGCAGTTTGTCCCCGGCCCTCGTTGGGGTTGTGTGGGTGGCAGCCACTCATTGGGGTTGTGTGGGTGGCAGCCAGTCGATGTATCTCTCTCACATCGATGCTTCTCTCTCTTCCCCCTTCTCTCCCTCCTGCTCTATCTAAAGATAAATGCAAAAATGTCCTCGGATGAGGAAAAAAATAAAAAAATAAAAATAAATAAAATAGGAGGGCCAGCCTGGCCAGTGTGGCTCAGTGGTTAGAGTGTTGGCCTGTGGACCGAAGAGTTGCAAGTTCGATTTCAGTCAAGGGCACATATCTGGGTTTCAGGTTCAATCCCTGGCCTTGGTCCAGGTTGTGTGGGAGATAACAAATTGATGTGTCTCTCTCATATCAATGTATTTCTCTCTCCCTTCCACTCTATCGAAAATCAATGGGGGCTCTGGCCAGTTTTGCTCAGTGGTTAGAGCATCGGCCTGCGGTCCAGAGAGTCCTGGGTTCGGTTCCCCCTAAAGGCACGGACCTTGTTTGCAGTTTGTCCCCAGCCCTGGTTGGTCATGTGGGTGGCAGCCACTCGATGTGTCCCTTTCACGTCGATGTTTCTCCCTCTCTCTCTCTTCCACTCTCACTCTCCCACTCTGTCTGAAAAAAAAAAGGAAAAATGTCCTCGGGTGAGGATAAAAAAATAATAATAAAAATAAAATCAATGGGGAAAAATATGCTCAGGTGAGGATTAACAAAAAAAATTAATAATAATAAAATAGGAAGGTCAGTCCTGGGCTGTATGGATCAGTGGTTAGAGCATCAGCCTGCATACAGAAGGGTCGCGGGTTCAATTTCCGGTCTAGGGCATGTACCTGGGTTGCAGGTTTGATCCCTGGCCCCAGTGGGGACCAGGGGGGTGGGGGCAGGCAACCAATTGATGTGTCTCTCTCACATTGATGTTTCTCTCTCTCTCTTTCTCTCTCTCTCCCTCCTTCCCTACCTTCCACTCTATCTAAAAATCAATGGAAAAAATATCCTTGGTTGAGGATTAACAAAAAGAAACAATTTTGAAAATATGAAATAAAGCCCGGCCAGTGTGGCTCAGTGAATTGAGCGTTGTCCCATGGACTAAGCGGTCCCGGTTCAATTCCTGGTCAGGGCACATGCCCGGGGTTGCAGGCTTGATCCCAAATAGGAGGCGTGCAGGAGGCAGCCTATCAGTTTCTCACATCAATGTTTCTATCTCTCCCTCCCTCTCTCTCTAAAAAATCAATAAAAGCATTTTTTTTTTTTTTATCCTCACCCGAGGATATTTTTCCATTTTTTGTACAGATAGAGTGGGAGGGAGAGAGAGGAAGGGAGAGAGAGTGAGAAACATCGACGTGAAGGGACACATCGAGTGGCTGCCACCCGCACGACCAACCAGAGCCAGGGACAAACTGCAACCGAAGTATGTGCCCTTAGCGGGAACCGAACCCGGGTCTCTCCGGACCGCAGGCCGACGGTCTAACTGCTGAGCCAAACCGGCCAGGGCAAAAAGCATATTTTTAAAAAAGAAGAAAAGAAATAAAATAGGAGAGCCAGAAAAGGCCATACTAAGATATTTGAGTCAAGACCTCAAAGGAGGAGGGTGCCAGCGCTGTGATGGGGCGGCGGTCGGGGAGAACCAGGCAGGGAAAGAGCATGTCCAAAGGCTCTCGGGTGGCGGCTTCAAGAAACAAGAAAGGTGAAGCTGAGTGACAGGAGGGCAGGGCGGGAATCCAGGGGGCTCTATGTGCCATGGGGTAGGACCATGGCTGTTACTCTGAGGCCTGAGGAGCCACTGGGGGTATGAGCGGATCAGTGACACGATCTGACATTTAAAAACATCTCTCTGGCCCCAACCGGTGTGGCTTGAGCATCGACCCCTGCACCAGGAGTCCGCTGGTTTGGTTCCCAGTTAGGGCGCATGCCCAGGTTGTGGGCCTGATCCCCAGTGGGGGGCATGCAGGAGGCGGCCAATCAATGTTCTCTCTCATTGATGTTTCTGTCTCTCCCTCTCCCTTCCTCTCTCTTTAAAATCAATAAAGAAAAAATATTTAAAAAAAATCTCTCTGGCTGCTAAGGAGAGAATAGATGGGGGCAGGGGGAGGGCTAACTGGGAGGGCTGGTGCTTTAAGTGAGGGAGGGCTAGGATGGGGCGCTACCAGTGGAGCAAATTTGATAACAAAGAATACAAAGAATTCAATAGAGAGAGGGCCCGATGGTAATGTGTTATGGAGGAAAATAAAGCAAGAGGGTGATAGGGAGTGTGAAGGATGTTGCAATTTTATTTTTTCATTTAATTTAATTTTGTAATTGTAAGAGAAAGTTTATTTAGAAAATTACAGAGGCAGTAGAAGTGAGCCAACTGGGCTTCTGAAACAAGTTATAGAAGCAAAAGAAGGGCCCTTGGAAACAGAGGCAAAGGTAATGGGCCTGGGGGAAGAAGGGGAAGGCGCAGGTGTGCTCCCGAGAGGAAAACTGAGCCAAGGACATTGTAATTTTAAAATGGGTCCAACTGGCCACCCTGGCCAGTTTGGCTCAGCGGTTAGACCGTCGGCCTGCGGTCCGGAGAGACCCGGGTTCGGTTCCCGCTAAGGGCATGTACTTCGGTTGCAGTTTGTCCCCGGCCCTGGTTGGTCATGCGGGTGGCAGCCACTCGATGTGTCCCTTCACGTCGATGTTTCTCTCTCTCTCTCTTCCTTCCTCTCTCTCCCTCCCACTCTATCTGTACAAAAAATGGAAAAATATCCTCAGGTGAGGATAAAAAAATAAAATAAATAAAAATAAAATAAAATGGGTCCAACCAGTGTGGCTCAGTTGGTTGAGTATCGTCCCAGGCACCAAGAGGTCACCAGGTTGATTCCCGGTCAGGGCACATGGCCAGGTTGGGGGCTTGATCCCCAGTAGGGGGTGTGCAGGAGGCAGCTGATGGATGTTTCTCTCTCATCAATATGTTAATCTCTCTGTCCCTCCCCCTTTCTCTAAAATCAATTTAAAGAAATGATATTTTAAAATGGGATGGTGGGCAAGACCTAACCAAGATGCTGGAGAGGAGGGCACCAACCATGGAGACATCTGGGGAAGAACCTGCCAGGCAGAGCTGAGCCCTCAGAGGCCCTGGAGCTGAGCCTGCCTGGCCTACAGGAAAGAAGGAGCCAGGGCCCTGGAACAGGCTGAGCTGGGGGCAGAAGGGGAGGGGAGGGCTGAGTCCCAGGGCACTGTAAGGTCTTCGGGGAAGTAGAAGGTTTTGAGCAGAGGATTGACACGATCCAATTCACCTGCTCATTCTGACGGCTGTGTGAAGAGCAAGAGTATCAGAGGGCAAGAGTGGGTGTGGGCATCTGATTAGGAAGCAGGGGCAACAATCCAGCTTGGCAGCGTGACAGCTGTAGAGGTGATGAGGCGCAGTCAGATTCTGGACACACAGGAACGGGAGACAGAACCAAGATTTGCTGACAGACTGAATGTGGGACGTGAGAGAAAGCAAGGAGTCAAGGACGACTCCAGGATTTTGGGTCCAAGAAACTGGAAAGATAGAGCTGCCATTTACTGACAGAGGGGAGGATGTGCCAGAGGAGGAAATGAGTTTGATCTTAGAACTGTTTTGCTTGGGGGGTGTCTATGACACACCCGGGAGAGATGTTGAGAAGGTTGTAAATATACAAGTTTGAGTCTCATTGAAAACATACAGTTCTGGGAGTCGGTGGTCCTTAAAGCCACAAGACCGGCAGAACTCACCTGTGCAGGGTGGAACTGGAGGAACGAGGGCCTGGGGTGGAGGCTGGTGTCACTCCAAGGCCCTGAGGCCGAGCAGGGGCAGAGGCACCAGCCAAGGGGACTGAGAAGGGCAGCCAGACTGAGGAAGACCAGGAGCGGGCCTGGATGAAGGCTGGCATCCAGTCTCTAAGTATGTTGTCTAATGTTTAACGCTGGGAGAAAATGCTCACCAAAGGTTACTTGGGGGGCGGGAAGCAGCATATGAAACACAATGTTAACAGTTCCTTTCTGTACATGGTGAGTGGTTGAAGAGTATTGTTATTCTCTTCTTTACAATTTTTGGTATTTTCTTAATTTTTAACTCAACATAGATTACTTTTATAAAAATTCTTAGACAAGGATATTTAAAAATAAACAGTGCAAGGTAGTATTTGCTGCTCACAGAGAACTCCAGCCTATTTCTAGCTCAAATGTGTGCGAACAAAAGGTAATTTAGGTCCTTCTCTCCCCCAGTGGGAACCGTGCGGGGGCAGTCCCACCTCAACCCAGGGGGCTTCGAGAGGACTCCTTGGGTGGGGGAGGTTGGTCAGAGAAGCACTGGAGGTGTCCTGATACTGAGCAGGCCCAGTCCCCAGGGCTGCTGGGTTGGCGTCATCTGACCTGCCAGCCATGCCCTGAGAACCAGGGGCGCCAGAAATGCCATTGTGTGTCCCCAGGACAGACAGTAGGTTCACATTGCTTGGCCCAGTATGGACTGACAGATGGACAGAACAGCAGCTTTATTAAAAAACAGTTTATTAGCTTCTGTGCCGTCCAGTGCTGGTGAAGATAGGCTCCCTCCCCAGGTGTCCCAGGGCCTCCCCACCTGAGCCCCAGAGGAACCGCTCCACAGCGGTGTCTTGAGGCAGTGTCCTTGTTCATCTGACTCCAGTCCCATTGCTCCTGGTCCAGGGCTAAGCCCCACCTCGAGAAGCCATAGGAATGGTCTCTCCTGAGTGGCTGCTGCCTCCAGCATCTGAGACGACGCCCCGGCTCCCAGAGGCTGGGGCCACGTCCACCTGGATGACACCATGCACCTGCGAGAGCTGTGGGCTGTCCAAGCTGGCGATGAGCTGGCGGGGGCCTGGTCGCACAGGCACAAACGTCTGGCGCAGCGTCACTGTCTCGTTGCCCCCAATGTCCCTGTGGGCAGAGACAGGGTCATGGGCATGGGGTGACTGGAGGTGGAGGGGGCAGCCAGGAAGGAAGGAGCAGAAAGTGCCTCCAGGCGCTTCTGGGCTCAGCTGGAATCCCCACACCCAGAACCAGGGCAAAGCCCAAGTCCCAAGGCCACCTCCACAGGGCCAGATCACTCACACAGCTGCTTGAGCTAGAAATCTCCCAGTCATCCGGGATTCCTCCCCTCCCACAAACACCTGGACAAAACTGTTACCCTGCTTCCCCTCATCTCCATGGCCAGCTGTCGCCTAACCAGACAAACCCGTCCCACACTCGGTTTCCGAGACCAAGGAAACTTCAAATGGACACTTTGGGGCTCAACACAGTATTGCCGAATACTTCCATTTTTTTCCAAGAAAGGAAGTGGAGGAAAATTAATTATCCTCTGCCACAACTACCTTTCCAGAGAAGGAGCATTTTAATACCCCAGAACATTGGGAAAATGTTATCTAAAAAAAAGGAAAGGCCTTACCAAGAATAAACAGTTGGCATCATTTTTGTTGTTAATCCTCACTTGAGGATATTTTTCCATTGGTTTTTAGAGAGAGTGGAAGAGACCGAGGGAGGGAGGGAGGGAAGGAGAGAAGCATTGATGTGAGAGAGACACATCGATTGGTTGACTCCCACATGACCTCAACCTGGGCTGGGGATCGAACCTGCAACCCAGGTATGTGCCCTTGACTGGAATCAAACCCAAGACCCCTGCCCTGGCCGGTTTGGCTCAGCGGTTAGAGCGTCGGCCTGCAGACCAGAGAGTCCCAGGTTCGGTTCCCGCTAAGTCCACGTACCTCAGTTGCATGTGTCCCCGGTCCCGGTTGGGGTCGTGTGGGTGGCAACCAGTCGATGTGTCCCTTTCACGTCAATGTTTCTCTCTCTCTCTCCCTCCCTCCCGCTCTATCTGAAGATAAATGCAAAAAAAAAAAAAAAGTCCTTGGGTGAGGATAAAAAAACAAAAAACCCAGACCCTTTGGTCCGTGGGCCAATGCTCCAACTGCTGAGCCAAAAGGGCCAGGGTGGCATATTTATTTATTTATTTTAATCCTCACCTGAGGATATTTTTTTCATTGATTTTCAGAGAGAGTGAAAGGGAGGGAGGGGGGGAAGAGAGTGTGAGAGAGAAACAGCGATGTGAGAGAGACATATCAACTGGTTGCCTCCTGCACGACCCCGACTGGGGCTGGGATTGAACCTGCAACCCCAGTACGTGCACTGAATCAAACCCACTACCCTTCAGTGAATGGACCGACACTCTAACCGCTGAGCCACACAGGCCAGGGCAGACAGTTGGCATCTTTAAATTGACATACATGTTTGTGTATATGTGAGAAAGACACACACACACACACACACACACACACACACTACAATGCCTTTATTTTCTCCTTTCTTCATGGATCTCTGAAAATCTATTCCCAGATCACACCTCTGGGAATCAGTTTCATGAGCCTCCTAACTGACCTTCTTGCCTCCCATCTCATTTTTCCATTCTATTCTCTAACCACTTGAACTTGAGCTGAACCCTTCAAGGGCTTGGCTTCCTTGGTGCTTATGGAATGAGACTGCAGCTCCCTAACCCGACACACAGGCTCACCCTGACTCAGCCTGTCTGCCTGTATAGCCTCATCATCCCCCACCATTCCTCCTGCCCACCAGCCTTGATGGGCTCCTTCCCTTCCCTGAACTCACCTCCTTTTCCATGCTTTGCCTGGCCACCTGTGCAGGCTCACACCACCTCCTCAGGGAGGGCCCCCTTGAGCACCTCCTGCCTCAGGAAGATTAACCTGGCCCTTCTCTGAGCTGCTCCAGCAATCTGCCCGTGTGCTTTATACACTGAATGTGATCGTATTTGTATCGCACCTGCTCATGCCTGTGAGCATCTATCCTTTCCTGCCTCTGCCTACATCCTTACCTCTGGCCCCCTACTGAACCCAAGCCTGCTGTGGGGACCCTCTCTGGAGCCACATCCTGTGCACACACCTCATTCCTCTAAAGGAATGAACCAACACCCCAACTTCGAAGATGAGCTCCCCCAACTTCGAAGATGAGCTCTCCTTGGGGCAAAACATTTAGCTTGGAGCCTGCTTGCAAGGGGCATCCCTGGACCATTCTGTGTTCCTTCTGCTACCACTGCTAGCTGTGTGGTTTAGGACAAGTTACTGAGCTTCTCTGATCCTCACTTTCTGGTCTGTAAAATGGAAGTGAATCTAAAATAAGGGGGTGGGATTAGATGGCCTTGAAGTGACCTCCAAACTCCATGAAGGAGGAAAGCAGGGGGAGGTAGGGAGATATAGAAAGATTAACTGTTAAGTTATAGACTTTATTGCTAGACTTCCAATCATAGCTAGAAATTAAGGCTGGTTACAAATTTGTGTTTTTAATTTGTGCCCACTCTTCCACAGATACAAAAATAAAATAGTTTAGGCTCAGACCAGTTTTCAAAGGTCTACCTGACCTATACTATAATCAAACTGTACTATATCAGAAACTGGCCTTTATTTATAATGTAATTTGCAAGAGAAATCGCTTTCCAGTTTCAGCATGGCATGTCCAGACCTCTTCCTCTCCCTGCCTGGTCTTAGTGTCCGGCGAGACCTTTGCCACACCTGTTTGGGAGCTGAAGCTGAACAAATCAGCTGCTAAAGCTGGGACGTGTCTGTAACAATGAGCTCAGGTAATGAAACCAACTCCTGGACAAGGACACCAGAAATTAAACACCCCAAATTAGCACTGTCCTTCAATTCTGTACTTGTCTAGCCATGTTGCCCGTGCTTGAAACATTTTTTGTTTTTGTTGTTAATCCTCACCTGAGGGTATTTTCCCACTGATTTCTAGACCGAGTGGAAGGAAGGGAGGGAAAGAGAGAGAAACATCGATGTGAGAGACACATCAATTGGTTGCCTCCCACACGACCCTGACAGGGGCCAGGGATCGAACCTGCAACTGACGTACATGCCCTTGACTGGGAATTGAACTCAAGACGCTTTGGTCCACAGGCTGACGCTCTACCACTCAGCCAAACTGGCCAGAGCACTTGAAACATTTTAAAAAACTCCTCCTGGATTTTTCTTCAGAGTCATTGAGAAGCACACACATGTCATGAACACCTAGTCACAGACGCATGCCCTGTCCCTCCCTTACAGCTAAGCTTCATTTCTGATTGAAAAGGGCATTATGACCCACCTTGTCTGCCCACCTAATTAATGAGTCTTAGCTCTAGATGACTTCAGGCTGTTTCCCCACAGTTAAATGCACCCCCCGGGAAGGCCACCCTAGGGATATTCTAGAGAGTATGATTCAGGCTCTGGGGGAAATTCCCGAGAAAGGGTTGAAAGAGATTTTCAGCCTCTCCTGGTGACTGGCTTGGTGGTGACAACAGCCATCTGGAGGAGTAAGTTCTGGAATGTTTATTAAATGGCTAGTCACCACTCTGGGTGGCACACCTTGTGCTATAATGGGGTTCCATTCCACAGCCTTTGATGTGCAAACGGGAACAAAGTAACACCCATCTTGGAATCCAATGTATCTGAACCAACAGCTCAGGGACTTCCCCCAGAGCTCTCAATTGTCCTGGTGGCCTTGACCTGGGCGAGCATCAGCCGAGGAGCCACAGGATGTCCAGGGAGAACCTGCCTTAAGAAACCATCACCCAACCCTCTCATTTACTAGTGGGGAGACTGGGGCCTTTACGTGGGAAGGAGGGATTTATACAAGCTTGCAGGTGAAGATCGGTCCAGGCCTCCATGCTCAGCTCAGTGGTCCTCTCCTTATTGCCAGGAGGGGCAAGACTCAAAGGTCTGACAGCCTGCTGAGGGGGATCCAGCTCTGGGGACCCCTCAGAACAGGGGGAACGTCCCTCCATCATTTGCAGGCGAGAGGCGCCTGTAGGGGGAGCTAACACCAGCTCCACTCTCTAAGCTGCCAGAGACTCTTGTAGGGAGACAAGGGGAAAGCACTTCTTTGTGACATATGACATCATGCAGGGTTCAGGCTGGGGCAAAGATCAGAAAAACAACCTTTTCAGCTTTGGCCTGTTGGCAAAGTGGAGCCCACCACCACGCGGAGCAGGGGTGTGGGCAGTACGGACAGGGACCCTCTGCTTCCCCCACCCAGCCCCCCTCGCAGGCCATCTCTTTCCCTTCGGCTCTGTTTGTTTAAAGAAGAAAACGCAAGCTCCTGTCTCCTGAATGCTGATGTTACATGCCAGCCTCTGGCTTTCCCTGCTGTCCCTCTGGGCTGCTCCCGGGGAGGAACAGTATAGCTTGAGTGGGCCCGTGTCAGAGATGGGAGCAGAGGCCCAGGAACACGAGCACAGTGTAAGGCCTCACAGAGCCTTGCCTGGCCTGGGGGCAGGTCCAGGTGTGCTGCTAAGTGCCTGGGGTGCAGGGCCCTCTCCTCCGGAACTGCAGCTCAGCCCTCGTGGCACAAACCAAGCAACAGGCTTGAGAGTCTGTCCACGGTGTGCACCCTGCAGGAAGAGCAGAGTCCGGCCCTGATGAGCTGTTAAGGTTCTATAAGACACGGCCGTTAGGTTCCCCATCTATAAAGTAGGGGTGCTGGTGGCAATAATCAAAATGAAAATTTCCAACAGAGCACTAACTTTGTGCCAAGCACTATGTTAAATGCTTTACATGCATCGTCTCATTTAATTCTCATGATGACCCTCAGAACCAGGTACTATTATTATCCCCACTTTACAGGTGAGAAAACTGAGGCTAAGAGGAGATAAGTCCTTTTGCCCAAGTGCACATAGCCAGTGAGTGATGGAGGTGGGACTTGAACCCAAGTCTTTGGGATCTCAAAGCTTTGCTTTTTTTCCCCCCCTGTTAATCCTCATCCAAGGATATTTTTAGAGAGAGTGGAAGGGAGGGAGGGGGAGAGATGGGGAGATGGGGGCGGGAGAGGGAAACATCAATGTGAGAGAGACACATCAATTGGTTGCCTCCTGCATGACCCTGACTGGGGCCAGGGATTGAACCTGCAAACCAGGTACATGCTCTTGACTGGGAATTCAACCTGAGACCCTTCAGTCCACAGGCTGATGCTCTAACCACTGAGCAAAACCAGCCAGGGCCAAAGCTTTGCTTTTAATTATACAATGGTCTCTAATGTACTTTAAAGGGTTTTTATGATCTCCTGCATGAGAAAATATTCCCGAAAGTGCCTGATCAACTCCTGGGTGCTGGGCAATGTTAGTGACGAGTTGCTAATGACTCCTATGTGAAGTTTTAACTCCCCGTGAGATGGTGAGGCGGGGACACCGCACAGCACACGCACCACAGCTCCTTATATGTCGCTTGGACTGAACCGAGTCAGGAGGCACAAGCTGCTTTCTTGGACCCTGACAGACGGTACTACCCTGACCATCCTGACAGAGAGAGGAAGCGATGTGGGGCCCAGGGTAGCCCAAGAAGTAGACAAGGAGATGCCAGACTCACCCAACGTTGAGGATCTTGGGTCTCTGTAACCCGGAGCCCTCGAGCCGGAAGACAACGTTGGTGAGGGTGACAGGCAGGGGGTTCTTGAAAACAATCTGTACTTCGCACTCCTGGCCAACTACAGCTGCACCCAATAACTGAGGGAAAAAAGACCCATCCCCACATCAGAGACCCCTGGTCAAACACATAGGGTCCATACAGTGCATTCGAGAGGGATAAAAACCTCCTTGGATCCCACATTCTGCCCCTGAGAGGAGGCTCTGCATAAGCCAGAGGGGAAGCCCCAAGCCACTCCTCACCCGAAGCCACCACAGAATCGGGGAGATTAGATATCACTTTCTAGATGAGAAAACAGCTCTGAGACCCAGAGATGATGCCTGATCTTTTCCTCCTAGAACTGCTAATCAGGCCAGCGTGTTCCTGACTCAGTGTCCCGTCCCCAGTTTCTCTCAGCCCCCGGACACCCCTCACGCTCTAGCCAGCTGCCCTCACCGTGAGGGAGAGGTCTGGGGTGCGCAGACGGAAGGTGTGCTGCTTGGCCAGCACCTGCCCGTTCTCCTTGACGTGGCCCGAGACGTTGAGCAGCATGGCGCCCTGGTCCACAAGGTGGGGCTGATATTCCTTGTAGGCCACGGGCATGGTCACGCGGTCCGCTGGGGAGAAGGGCATAGTGTCACGGAGGCCTGCTTCCCCAGACATGGTTTCCCAGAGTCTCCATGTCCACAGCCCCGGGTGCCTGGCCATGCAGGGGTGCAGGGCTGGGGAAGGAGCACTTACAGGCCCCTGGAGCCAGCACCACTTCCTTCTTGCTCTCCTTGAAGACGGACCCGGTGACACCAGTGTAGAAGGTGACTGAGAGGTAGAGGTGTAGCTTCACAGTGCGGCGGCTGCTGCTGCTGCGATTGGTCAGCACCACGCAGACCGTCAGGTCCTGCCCCATCACTGCGTCCTGGGCCTCCACCTGTATCGCCACATCGTCCGCTGAGTCCCGGGTGGCGTACACGTTGGGTTTGCTGCCATGCGCGGTTGCTGTCTCCACTGCCTTCCGCTCTGCTTCGGAACCTGGGGGTTGAGGGTCAAGGGTGAGGATGGGCAAGTGCTCAGCGGGAACCTTTGGCATGGGCCTGAACTGGCCAGGTTGGGGGGATGCTACCTTCTGGGTGCTTATAGAGGTGGGTAACGTCCTCCTGCATGTTGGAGCCAATGGCCTTTGTGACGATGAGTGTGCCAATGGCCTTCTCCTCCACATACACAATCTTGAAGCTGCCATCGTCCTGTCGCTGCCAGTAAACCTTGTCACTATTCACCTGTTGGGAGAGGACAGGGGGTGTGTGAGCCTGGAGTGAGTGACCCCCAGGGTCTGAGGTTGGACCTGACCTCCCCTCGATCCTTGGAGCAGCAGGGAGGATGAGGTCAAAGGCTGGGAGCTTCCTGGTGGGGCCAAACGGGGATTTTCCAAGCTGAGCCAGATGAGGCCAGAGAGCAGGGAGGCTGGGCTGGGAGGCTCCTCGAAAAGCACTTCGGCATTAATAACAGTAATCCCATATGGTCATTCGCCAACTTTATGACTTGTAAAGCTGTTTCATACCCATTATTTCTTTTGATCCTGAATATAGGAAGCACGACAGCCATTATTATTCCCTTTTACAGTTGAGAAAGCTAAAACTCTTAGAATGACTTGCCGAAGGACACACAGCTGGTCAGTCAGCGGTGAAGCGAGGACCAGAGGGCCCAGGACTACGCTAGGCTTTGCCCTGCAGACTGCTCCAGGAGGCCTGTGGAGCACAACCCTCACCTCGGCGAAAATGAAGGGCGTGTCGTACTTCATGTAGACCAGGCCATTCTTGATGGACTGCACGGAGCAGGGGCCACAGCAGAAGATGCCTAGGGGAGTCGGGGCAGGATGGAGGTGAGAGATCCAAGAGGCCAAGGGGACCTTCTGATCCTGGGGAGGGGCCCACTCATCCAGGCCCAGTGTGCACTGCCTTGGGGTCACCAGGGGCTCACAGTACAACCCAGGGAGGATAACAGAAGAGTTCAGTTCTATTTGGCCTCTGTCGGGGGGTGGGGAGCAGGGCCAACCCTGTGGACAAGGCTGCCTTGTTAACCAAATCATATCGACACACTCTTCCTCCGTTGGCTGAAGTTGGACATTGGCTGTCTGTGATCCTCAGAGGTCAGAGTCCTCCACATCAAGACAAATCCAGAGCTCACACTAACTCTGCTTGCTGACTGGGAGACCAATGACATCACAGCCACTGTTCCAGAAAAATCCAGAACAACTCCTCAGCTCTGCAATCCAATGTGTCCTCTCTGTGGGGGTGGGGAGGGGAACTGGTGGGAAATGGAGTCTGACCTCATCATGCTCAGGAGGGTTTTTAGAGGAGATAAGCTGACAGAGAGGAGGCTTGGCAGGAGAGGACAGCATCCAACAGGAAAGAAGCTGAGAAAACACCTAGCACTATGGTCTTCTTTTATAGATGGGAAAACTGAGGCTCAGAGAGGCAAGGCCGATGCCAGGATCTCACAAGATAGCTGGATACAAGAGAATGGAAGGAGCTAATATTTGCTTTGGTCCAGGCATGTTGCTAGTCTCTCTAGTATATGATTTCTCATTTGATCCTCCCAACTACCCTACATGGTACATAATATTCTCATATTACGAACAAGAACACCAAAGCCCAAAGATGCAAGAAGCTTGCCCAAGATGACATCTAAGAGGTAATCAAGCTGGAATCAAGCCCGAATCTGACTAGCCCAGAGCCCCTGCCTGGTGCCCACCCCACCACTTCCCAGAGTGGGGACCATCACCCAGTTCTCCCAGTGTTCTGGGCCAGGCTTTCCCAGCACTGCAGACATTATTGGGTTGTACAACTCAGGGCACTGTTCACAGAGATGACTGAGAGGGAGAGGTCTGGCTGGACACCACAGGAGAAATGTAGGCTAGGCAAGGCCTATCTGACCCAGGGTGAAGAAGGGAGAGGCGGAAGGAAGGCAGCATGAGGGGCAGGCTGGCTGCTTGGGGCTGCAGTGTTAAGGTGGGAAGGGGAGGGGCCTGTCTGAGAACAGAGAGTATGACGGATCTAATCTTTGCAAACATGTGTATTGTGGAAAAGAGATTAGTAGGTTACTTTAATGATTACTTTTTTAAACTTTAAACTTTATCTCCTAGGGCTGGGTATAGGGGCTGCTTTCTTCTTTGAACCTATCTGAACCTTGACTTTTTCTGTATTATACATATTACTCATAGTGACAATGGAACAGACAAGAGAGGACTTGGTGAAAACTAGAATGCATGTCGAGAAGGGAGCGAGCCAGGGACTAGATTTCCTGTGCTGCTGACCTAATGCTCTGTGTCCTAGGAAAAGTCACTCTACTTCTCTGGGCCACCATTTCCCATGTGTCCCAAAAGGGCTTGGAGTGGGTCCCAAATTCAGCTGACTTTTATTTATTTATTTTTATCCTCACCCAAGGGCATTTTTCGATATTTTGTTCAGAAAGAGTGGGAGGGAGAGAGAGAGAGAGAAACATCGACGTGAAAGGGACACATCGAGTGGCTGCCACCCGCACGACCCAACCAGGGCCGGGGACAAACTGCAACCGAGGTACGTGCCCTTAGCGGGAACCAAACCCGGGTCTCTCCAGACCACAGGCCGACGCTCTAACCGCTGAGCCAAACCGGCAAGGGCTCAGCTGACTTTTAGCATCATCAGGGGAACTTTCAAATATGTAGATTCCTAGAATCTACCCCTGGCATGTCTGACATGTCAGGTCTGTGGTGAGACCCAGACATCTACTTAAAATGAAACAAAAACCTCCTGAAAGAAAATATTTATATTTTATATTATTCAATTCTATACTTTTTCCTTTCAAGCATGTATTACTTATAATAATTACTTTTTTAAACTTTAAAAATACTCAAGTAAGAGAGTCCTTCAATTAATTATCTCCAGGATATGTAAGTAAAAAAGCAAATAAGCCTTGGCCAGTTTGGCTCAGCGGTTAGAGCGTCAGCCTGTGGACCAAAGAGTTCCGGGTTCATTTCCAGTCAAGGGCACTTACGTACCTCGGTTGTGGTTAGTCTCCGGCCCCAGCTGGGGTCATGCGGGTGGCAGCCAATCGATGTGTCTGTCTCACATCAATGTTTCTCTCTCTCTCCCCCTTCCACTCTGTCTGAAGATAAATGTAAAAATATCCTTGGGTGAGGATTTAAAAAAAAAAAAAAGCAAATGAGAATAGTGGATTAGTTGGGGGAGAAAAACCTGTCACTGAATTCTCTTGAATCTCTTTTTGACTTTTGAGCCATCTGAGTACTAACCATTATAAATAAATACAACAAATAAATAAATAAAAATAAATACAAAATAGGCATATAGTTATGAAGAAAGGTGAAAATAAACTGAAGTCCACATGGCCAATCAGTCTCTTTAAAGAACCACAGTGTTAAAGGACCGACACTGGGGTTTGTTACTAGGTCGGGGATATGGGGAGAAGCCAAAGTGGGGTACAAGAGCCAGGCAGGGCCCCGTCTCACCACTGCTGGTCTCCTGGGGTGTGGCATCCACAACCTGCCAGCCATCGAAGCCTGAGGGCAGGTCCGGCCTCTTCATCCAGCAGTCGTTCCACACGTGAAAGTTCCTGGGTAGACAAGAAGGCAGTGCTGTCTGAGCAGCACCCCCGGGCCCCCCGGGCCCCCCGGGCCCCTTGGTGTCCAGGGCTCAGGTCACGGTTTTGTTTTGTTTTTTAATCTTCACCTGAGGATATCTTTTCCATATTTTGTACAGATAGAGTGGGAGGGGAGAGAGAGGAAGGGAGAGAGAGAGAGAAACATCGACGTGAAGGGACACATCGAGTGGCTGCCACCCACACGACCAACCAGGGGGACAAACTGCAACCGAGGTACGTGCCCTTAGCGGGAACCGAACCCAGGTCTCTCCGGACCGCAGGCCGATGCTCTAACCACTGAGCCAAACTGGCCAGGGCTTTGTTGTTGTTTTTTTCCTCACCTGAGGATATGTTTTTATTGATTTTTAGAGAGAGAGAGAGGGACATCGATCGGTTGCCTCCCACATGTGCCCTGAATGGTGATTAAATCCGAAACCGAGGTATGTGCCCTCACTGGGAATCGAACCCGCAACCTTTTTAGTGTATGGATGATGCTTCAACCACCCAAGCCACCCAGCCAGGACTCAGGTCACTGTTGTTGGCAGGGATGAGCGGTCCAGCCCCAGCCCCAGCCTCACCAAACAGAATCATGGTTCAGGTGCTCGAGAGGCTTCATGTTCTCATCGAAGTAGATGTCCATGGTGAGGGACGTGTCTGTGTCATGTGCTGAGTTGAAGTTGGTGACAGTTCGGGTGGCCAGGCCCAAGCAGCGCAAAACTGCAGAGGATCCAGGGTTGGGGGTTCAGGGCTCAGGGCCAGGGCAGGGGTGAGAGGCAGGTGAGGCTTCAGGTGAGGAATAGCAGAGGGAGAAGGGCAGTTGGGGTTGCCAAGCTGGGTCAGGGGTCACTAGGGTCAGAAGGCCTTTGGGTCAGGGTGTGTTGGGGGTTGGGGGAAGCCAGGCCACTTGCCTGGCCTTGTCCCTGCCTGTCCCTTCTCCCTCCCCTCCCCTAGGCTTCTCTCTGGTTGTTAACATTAATTAATGGTAATTAAGGCCAGCCTACCTACCACCCCCACCTGTCCCTGCATTGTAGCCAGAGCTGGGCCTGACTTCCCTCCCTTCTCCTTGTAGGGCCCAAGCCACTCCTGCCCTAGTCCCTCCACTACCTGTGGTGGTCACACCGGCAAAGACCCAGCACTGGCCGTAGGGGACAGAATAGCCAGTGTGTAGGTAGCTGAGGAGAATCTCCACACTGCCCACCCACGCCGATGGGTTGGTGCCTCGGGAGTAATCGCCAGACCAGTTCCCAATCAGGACCCCGTTGTCATCTAAGGAGTTCACCTGTCCGGGACAGAATGGGATAGGAGGAGTTGGAGGAGAGGCTCAGGACCTGCCACGTGGTCACCAGCCCAGCCCCTAACCGTACAACCAACCTTCACCACTCAGGGATCTAGCCGAGCCCCGCCCACCACCCCCAGAGGCCCCCCCCAACCTCTGGTTTGACACAGGAATGTGAATCCTGGGTGTGCCAAGTATTGGGTTTGGCCCTACATTCCATAAGAGCTAGGACAGGAGTCAGGAAGGGTGGGTGGGGAAGCAGGCAAGAGAGAGAAGAGGCATGAGACCCCTTCCCATGGCACCATTTGCAAGGGCAGGTCAGGGCTGGGGTCCTGGAGGAATCAGAAAGGCCAGACGTGGGAGGCAAGGGAGGCAGCAGGCAGACCCGCAGTAGGCCCAGGGCCATGAGGGTGCTCACCATGGCAGAGATGACCCGGGAGACACTGACTGGGTCCCCACGACCTCCATATGGCATGCCCCGCCGGTCCAGGATGTACAGACAGGCATCCAGCACCCCGTGGTCAAACTGGAAGGAGGGAGGGCAGAGGTAGCTGTAGCCCCAGGTGGCCAAGCTTGACCCCTAGGCCAGCATCTTCTCTCCCACCCACCCCACACGCCCCTAACTGCCCCGAGTGCACGTGGCCCTGGCCAGCTGTACCTGGCCATAGTTCCAGGTCCGCTCGCCGATCTGTGCTTCAGTCCCGTAGTAAATTCTCCCAGACTCATTAAGCACGTATTCCTGCCGCCAGTCTTCACGGTCCACGTACACGGTGTCCCCTGCATCCCCGAAATACATATGCCTGGTTCCCTCCAGCCCTCTCCCTGGGTCCCACCTGCCCCTGGGCCAATTTGGCAGGACTCATGTCCACAGTGAAAGACAAGGGATGTCTCTGTTCCCAGGAAGGATGGAGGATGCATGCCAGAGGTTGTGGGAGAGGGGCTGTAACCAGGGCCTTCGCTACGAGAAGTGAGCTGTGTGACCTTGAGGCAGTCACCTTTCTACATAGGACCTAGATCCCCTCACCTGGAAAGTGGGAGTCTGGTTTCTCCTAGGGTCAGGCACCAAGAATCCTAGGAAAGGAAGCCTGATCTGCCTTCTTTCCGCTCTACCCCCTGCTCCTGACTCCAGCCGCTCACCTGAGCACCAGGGGTTGAAGAGGATATAGATTTCATTTTGGGGGTCGAAGGGCAACAGGAACTCGCCAGCCTCTGAGTGTGTGCGGACTGTGAACTGAAACTTGCCGATGATGGAGTTGGGGGAGGTGTGGACCCGTAGATTCAGATTCTGCCCACTGGACTTCATTATCTGGGCTTTCCAGCCTCCACTGCCCCCCTTGCCCACTGGGATGATCACATGGGTGCCCTTGCCCACTTCAGGGTTGTTTCCTAGAATGGAGAAAGCAGCAATTAGCTGGTGAGGCCTCCCTGAAGCAGGGTGATGGAGCCTTAGACTTCTCCCAGCTCCACCCAGAGTGTGTGTGGGCCAGTGTGTGTGTCCCTGAGTTGGGCCATCACCTTACAGTCTGAGAGTGTCCACGCCCCATGCTTGCCCACATGCCAGGGCAGAGACCCAGTCCAACGTCCCAAACCTGTTCCCCTGACACTGAACTCAGAGATGGGCAGGAGAGACCGGGCCACTGTCACCCTCTGCCTGCCTGACTGTCCCAGCTCCTGGGCTGGAAAAGCAGAACCACCCTGCCTGGCTCCAGAGGCTTCCACCTCATGGAAAGGGCAGTCCAGATCCTGAAGGCCAACCCTGCCTGCCTCCTGGGACTGCTGCTTCCAGAGCTCAGGGCATCCTTGGTGGAGGTGGTGGGGTACTTGGGAAATTAGAGGTGGGGTGGGCAAGGCCAGGTCCTAATCAAAGGGTGCGAGGAGTCACCCGCCCCCGGCAGCATGGTAATCACTAGCCTGCGCAGTCAATGGCCAAGCAACACAGTGAGGGAGGCACCTGTCCTGGGCCATGGAGACAGAGCTGGACAGAGAGGGTAGAGAGAGCCAGCCACATCTGGGGAAGGAGAGCAGACCCAGAAAGACACACAGAGGCAGCAATACCAAAGCAAACACCTGAGGAGAAAGAATATTGAGAGAGATGTCCCTGGAGGCTTGAAGGGGGTGAGCTTAGGAAAATGGGGGCACCAAGACCATCCCTGAGACACACCCCTAGGAACACACACACTTACACCTGCCTTATCTGGCAGAGGGTGAGGATTGAGGTGAAGGAGCCCAAAGATGCACCTCTGACCCTAATACCAGGGCTGGGAGGCCCTGCTAGCCAGCTCCTCTGCCCAAGTTTTCCCCCTTCCCACTACAGGCCCCACTGACCAATGTGCAGTTCCAGGGTGACACGATCGGAAGACTCATAGGGCCGAGACAGGAAGAGGACCATGTGGAAAGGCTGCCCACGGCGCAGGATCAACTCATTGTACTCGAACTCATCTGTGTGGTGCTCTCGGCGGTTCTGGTCTGAGCGTGAACTCAGCAGATCCACACCAGTCACCACCAACATGCCCTCTGCAAAGTCACAGCTCCTGGTCAGCGAAGCCCCATGGGGAGCCCGGTTCCCATCATTAGCCCCCCAGACCCCCAGAAATTCCAGGATGAGTCTCAGTCCCCATTAAGGCCTTTTAGCTCCCAGCTAAGGCAGACAAGCCAGCCTCACCTCGGATGGCGCCATCTCCAGCTGCGTTCACACCGCTGCCCCTTGAGATAGGACGTCGAGAGTTTGAGCCCCCAGAGTCAGGTCTTCGGCCCCCAGAGCTGGACCCTCGACCCCTGGAGCCAGAGCCTCTGTGGGGCTCAGATCCCCAGTCATCATCTGCCCCATTCCGGCAGGAGCAGCAGCCACAGCAGCGAGCCCAGAAGGAACTGCTTCTTCTGCGTGACCTTCTGTCTCGTTCTGGCTCTGGTTCTGGCGAAGGGGTGGCGGGGGCCAGCCAGTGGTGCCCGCCCCAGCGACCCAAGTCTGAACGAAGACCGTCCATCATGTCTGTGTGGAAGAGGCAGGGAGGCTCCAGTCACCCTCTTAGTCTTCCTTTACCCAGGACACCCCAGCCAGCCCAGCCAGAAACCCTCAATTCAGAGAGCTGATTCGATTCCAGCCAGATGATCTTACTATTATTTTTTCTTGTTGATCCTTGTTCAAGGATATTTTTCCATTGAATTTTAGATAGAGTGGAAGGGAGAGGAAGAGAGAGAAACATCGAAACATCGATGTGAAAGAGATTGGTTGCCTCCCACACAACCCCAAATGGGGCTGAGTATCGAACCTGCAACCCAGGTAAGTGGCCTTGACTGAAAATCAAACCCAAGACCCTTTAGTCCATGGGCCAATGCTCTAACTACTGATCCAAACTGGCCACGGCCAGATGATCTTATTTTGATCCAGAGATTCCCCCAGACCCATCCAGAGATCCTCCCCGAAGACTCCTCTCAGACTTACCTAGAGAAACTTCCCACACTGCAGAGGAGAGGCTCCCCCCCACATTCCCCAGACATCCAGCAAACCAGATGCCCAATGGAGAAACCTTCTCAAAGACTCAACCCAGGAAATGTGTGGACGCTTGTCCCAGATGCACAGAACATCCCCTCTCCTGCTCCCAATAGCTGGGGTTCCTCAGTCTAGATAGAAGTCGACCAGCTGAGTGCATTTAGGGTGCATTTCTTTCTTTCTTTTTAAAATCCTCACTGGAGGATATGTTTCCATTGCTTGAGGGAAAGAGAGAGAGAGAGAGAGAGAGAGAGAGAGAGAGAGAGAGAGAGAGAGAGATCTATTGGTTGCATCCCGTCGGGGCTCCAACTAGGGATGGAACCCACAGCATTTTTCCATTTTTTTGTTCAGACCGAGTGGGAGGAAGAGAGAGAGAGAGAGAAACATCGACGTGAAGGGACACATCCAGTGGCTGCCACCCGCACGACCAACCAGGGCCGGGGACAAACTGCAACCAAGGTACGCGTCCTTGGCGGGAACCGAACCCCGGTTTCTCTGGACCTCAGGCCGCCGCTCTAACCGCTGAGCCAAATCGGCCAGGGCTAGGCCCCATTTCTTAGCAGAGATTTCCCACTCAAGGCTCCTTGCAAAACACAGGCAGGTGATGAACGGGACTTGGGGTCCTTAGCACTCCCCACGTCGGGTCCAACCCGGCGCACAGCATCCGGGAGGGGCGGCTGGCGGTGCTGGAGCCCGCGTCCCCCGCGCGGAGTCCCGGCATAGGGCAGCTTCGCTGGACCCGCAGGCTCGGGCTGGCTCGCACCCCACTTGGCTGGGGTCGGATCTGGGCACGCGCGGCCCCCAGACGGTACCGGGGCGCTCAGCACCTCAGAGCCCGTGGGGGCCCCTCACCTGGTGGCGGTGCTGGCGAGGGCAGCGCTGCGTCGCGCGGCCGGGGTGGAACAGGTCAGGACTGATGGGACGGGACAGACGCGCCGGACGCCGCCGCACCAGTGGAAGGTGTGGGGCGGGCGGGTAAGTGCTTTATGAGGGGTGGGCGGGGCCGCTGGCTAATAAGGGGAAGCTTGGTTGCTCCATCCCCCTTCGGGAAAGAAGCCCGGCCCCCGAGGCTGTCTCCCGAGGCAGGGGCGAGAAATCAGGCTCCGTCGAAGCCTCTTTCCCCTTTCGAGGAACTGAGAAACCGTGGAGACGGGACGGTTTGGGATGGGGGTAGGGAGGGGTCCGGGCCTGTCAGGACTGAAGCTGGGGCAGAAGTGCAAGGCTTTGGTGGGACCGTCATACCAGGCTGATTAGTGCCAAACTGTGTGCTTAAGGGGTCCCTTCTCCTGAGGACAATGGGGCAAGGAGCCCCTTTCTCTCACACCCCTGTCAGCTGACCCACTGCCGCCAAGCTCAGGCTGCCTGCCTATGGTCTCATAGGCCCTTGCTACCAGGCGCCCGTGCAGCCCAGGTCAGGCTTAGCCCTGTGAAACTGGCCGGGTCCTGGTCCTCATCCGGTCCACGGAGATCCCTGAACCCCAAGGGGCAGACTGGTGACATCAGCAACCTGGTCCTCAGACTGGCTCCACCAGCTAGCCCATGACCTTCAGGCTCTACCAGATCCTCTGACCTCCCCCACCCTCTTCCTCCAGCTCTCCACAGCCCCTGGCAGAAGTGAGCAGCTAGCTCCCAACTTCCTAGGTCTCTCCAAGTTTGGGATCGAGGGATTGGCCAGGACAGGAGCAAATCCCTGTTTTCTCCCCCCAGCCTGGAGGTTTTGGGGAAGCTGAGGCCTTACTCTGAGGCTTGGGTGGAAACTGAGGCCCCCTCCCCAGGCTGCAGAGTACCCCCTTCTCTGACTGAGAGGAGTGTCTAGTCAGCTGGAGTCCCGAGTTCTCCAACCCGGAATTCTTCTTGGGAATCCTGATCAACCGGCTCCAGGCACCTGTCTTGTTTGCATCAACTCCACCCTGGCACAGGGAAACACTGGGATGCTGAGCGGAGAGAATGCAAGATCACGAGGAGGCCGCGCATCTTCAGAGGGGCTTTCTTGGGAGTTGTGCAGGAAGGTTGGGGCCCCTTTCTTAGGACCTCTTCCCTCCATCCCACCTGTGTCCCAGCTCTGCCCACCAGCCACTGAACAGAAGATAGTGAAAACCAGGTTGGCAAGAAGGCACAAGAGGCGGAATTTGATGATAGATCAGGGAAGTGACAGAGGCAGTGAACTCTTCACACTCACGTTGACCTTTCCCAGTCCACCTCCAAGCCCGAGCCCTGCGGGGGGCCTGCCCCCACCTCCAAGATTTGCAGACAACCCACCAGTGGAAATCAAAACCCAAGGCAGATGTGAAGCAGGTCAGCCAAAGGACTTCGTTGAGGGCGTTTGTGTACTAAGGCTACGGAAAGGGGTGGGACCCTGAAAATCTGGGTGTATGAGAGCAAAGGTGGGCCCAGGTAGATTCCCAGGGAACCAAGAAAATGCTTTGTCACACTCTCACCCTCTTGTTTAAATCGTCCTCTTTCCCCACCCAGTCAAGTTTGACTCAGTGCTCTAACCCTGAGCCACTCCTTTTCCTCCCTCAGGAAGCCTCAGGGATTTCAGCCAGACAAGGTTTGTGTGTGTGTGTGCACGTGTATGTGGAGGGTACATGTGTGCATGGATGTGTGTGCTGGGGATCACCATGGGAGAGGACACCTGGTTCAGTACCTCAGGGAATGAGGCCAGGCTCGGCCCAACCATTCCATATCCATACAGAAGCAAGAACATGAGTCTGGACTCCCAGAGCAAGGTGTACAGTTTTGGCTCCAGCACTTGAGCTCAGCCACCTTGCGCACATCTTAATAGCAGTTTCCTCATCAGTACAATGGGCCTAATCATTTCATCCCTGAGAGTTTATGATGATCAAATAGGATCATGTATTTTCAAGGGTTCTTCAACCAAAGAATGCTATTCACGGGGATGGATATTGTTCTAAGAGGGTGGAGCAAGGGTGCCCTGACCCTTCCCACTCTTTGGGGAAACAGCCTTCTCAGCGGTGCTGCATGAGAGCCAGTGCTCCTGGGCAGAGGGCATCTGGCAGGGGCAGGGGTCATGGGAGAAACTTTTACGAGTCCTTCCATTTGGAGACTTACAGATGCTTTGTAGCCCAGCCCCAAGCAGAAGCTAACCCCAAACCTGATCCCAGCCTGGAACCTGGACCCTGCTCCAACCGGAGGGTGAATTCAAGTCCAGTCTTCACCCTTATTCTGCCCAGTGAGGCTCTCATGCTCCATGACAAAGAATAGCAGGACTGAGCATAAAACAAAGAAAACAGAGCGAGCCAACGCACTCCAACTCTCTCCCTTTCCTTTCCGGAAAGGTGGCAGCAGTACTGGTGGTGGCAGTGGTGGCAGCAGCAGCTGAGCAGCCTGAAAGGCCTCTCCATTCTTTATTCAGTCCTAATAAGTTAGAGGGCAAGGATGGGGGCAGGGTCTCTTAGGTGAGGATGCTGCTCACTGAAGGTAGCAGCTCGGCCAGGTGTTCCGAGGAGCCCACTGTTTGGCACAGGGGGTTGCCCTGCAGGTTGAGGAGCACCAGCTTGGGGCAGGAGGCAACAGGCTGAAGTGCTGCATGCTGCTGGAGACCTTGGGCAGGAGAGTCAAGGAAAGGTTGGTAGGTTCCCCCAGATCTTGTCTGCTCCTGGGTACCCATCACTATTTTCCTTCAAGAGCAGGGACTGCTGCCTGGCAGCCTGGTTGGTAGGCATCCGGAAGAGCCCCTAGAGGCAGTATGGCTCTGGGCAGGGACTGCAAACTCCTGCCCACAGGGGCCACACAGGAAGCAAAGGGGGCAGGCTGGGTTGTGGTACTAGAAGGAATGGTGGAGACCGTGGCCAAGGGGAAGGTCAGCCCTGGCTAGAGGCATCCACGTGTCAGCAGTGACCAAAGATTCCGGGGGAACATAGGCCAAAGGTTGCTTTAACTTCCCAATCTTTAAGAGGAATCAGAATTCCCAGTTTTTTAAATATGAAACTTCCTGACTGTTAAAATATTACCTGATACCCAAGAATACCAGCAGACTGCCCGTTTGTGAACTCTGGCTTGAGGAGGTCACTAGCCTCCTGCAGAACTCCACCAGTGCAAGTCAAGGACAGCTGTACACATCCCAGGCGACCCTCTCTCCTCAGCTGAGACTGCCAGAGACCCCGTCCCATGTCCCCTGTGAGGGCACCCACCTTGCTTGTTGTTTGTCATTTCCCATTGTAGTATCTCACCCTACCCACTGTCTGAAAGAAACCTAGAGCCCTGGCTGGGTAGGTCAGTGGTTGAAACATTGTTCTGTACAACAAAAAGCTGAGAGTTCGATTCCTGGTCAGGGCACATACCTAGGTTGTGGGTCCGATCCCCAGACGAGGCAGGTATGGGAGACAACCTATTGATGTTTCTCTCTCTCCCTTCCTCTATTTCTAAAAATCAATAAACATATCCTTGGGTAAAGATAAAAAAATGCTTTGTTGCCCTGGTCAGTTTGGCTCGGCGGTTAGAGCTTTGACCTGCGGTCCAGAGAGACCTGGGTTTGGTTCCCGCTAGGGGCACGTACCTCGGTTGCAGTTTGTCCCCGGCCCTGGTCAGGTCATGCGGGTGGCAGCCACTCGATGTGTCCCTTTCACATCAATGCTTCTCTCTCTCTCCCTCCCTCTCACTCTATCTGAACAAAATATCAAAAAATGTCCTCGGGTGAGGATTAAAAAAAAAAAAAAAGCTTTGTTGAAAAAAACAAATAAATAAAATAAAAAGGCACCTAAAAGGAAGGATACGGTTGTTGCACAGGAAGAGCTCCTGCAGCCGGGGCAGATTAGTGACACCGTCCAGGGACTCTATGGCATTATCGCTGGCCTGCAGCACCTGAGGACCAGGGGGATAGGGAAGACAGGGCAGGCAGGCAGCTGTCAGCCTGAGACTGGTACAAGCAACTGGGGCGCCCAGGGTGAACAGTTTCCAGTGCACGGAAGGATTCCTGGGATCAGGTGGGTGACGGAAGGGGGAAGGCAGGGGTCATCTGCAGGGGCTGGGAGGGCCTGGGCATCTCTTTGCAGGATGGGCAGGCTTCTGAGGTAGAGGAAGGGAGAAAGGACCAGCCAGGACAGTGATGTACTAGAAGGTACTAGTGGCATAAGAGTGAATGCTTTACCTCAAGGCAACGCAAGGCAGACAGGGCAGGGGGCAGGGCTCGGAGATGATTGTGCGACAGGTCAAGATGAGTGACCAACAGCAGCTGTTCCAGATGGCAGAGTGTCGTCAGACCCTGAGGAGAGGGAAGGAGATACCCAATGGGGAGGGCCTCAGCCATCATTTGTTAGGCACTAGCCCTCTGAGCCCCATAGAGGCCCTTGGGGACCCCAACTGAGGAGAGGATGGGGCAGGCTGGAAGCTTACCTTACAACCCACCACAGTACATGCTACAAGTCACGGACATGGGACAGGCGTGAGTGCTGTGGGTGAGGTGGCCAGAGGAGTAGAACAGGTTCAGGGGACAGAGGAGGGCACCGGGGGAAACACAGACATTGGTAGGAGTGGGCCTGGCGAGTCTGGGGGACCGGTTTGGTGGGAGCAGAGGTGGGCTGCAGTGATGGGAAGATTGGTTGGGAAGGACTACAGATCGAGGAAAAACAGTCTGGAAAGCTTGTCAGGAATCTCTGGGAACTATCGGGTGATCATGGTATCTCCCCTGCCAGCTAACTATTACTATTTGGGCTTTAGGTGTTGGCCTGCTCCAGTGAGCAGAGGAAGACATGTCCAGAAAGGCACCTGAGACTGAAGGCACAGCCAGGGGCATGGTGAGGCTGGGCAGGCAGGGACTCAGCTGAAGCCCAGAAAATGAGCAAAAAGCTGGCCGGGCTGAGGAAGAAGGGTGGGCCAGCGGAATGCGGGCCCAAGAAGGCACCCACATAGTCTATACCTTGTGACTCAGGTGCAGCACGCGCACCTCTGCATACTCCATCTTGAGCA